ACAGTACAAGATGGAGCCGGTTTCAGTTTGGGCGATTGCCGATGTAGGAACATGATCGCTTGTGTTTTGGAAGCATTGATTTTGATTTTCCACGTGGTGGCATAATCAGCAAAGGCGTTAAGGCATCGTTGAAGTTTGTTCGTTATTTCGCGAGGCATCCTTCCTTTGACGGCTATTGCGGTATCATCTGCGAACAGGAAAAACACGCAACCGTCTCCAAGGGGAGGAATGTCAGAAGTATAAATGCTGTAAAGCGAGGGGCCCAGCAGACTGCCTTGCGGGACTCCTGCTGGGATGGAAAGACAACCATTCAACGATACCTTAAACGACCTTTGCTGAAGGTAGTTACGGGTGATTTTAATCAGATGTAATGGGAAGTTGAAGTTACAAAGCTTGTACACAAGTCCGTCATGCCAAACATTGTCAAACGCCTTTTCAACGTCTAACAAGGCCATGGCTGTGGACTTTGATACAGCTTTGTTACTTCGAATGTTATTCATCATTCGTACTAGCTGGTGATTGGTGGAGTGCTTCTTTCTGAACCCAAACTGTTCCGGAAGGAGAATGTTATTTTCCTCGACAAACTTGAGCAAACGATTGAGAATGAGTTTCTCGAACAATTTGCTCAGCGCTGAAAGGAGGCTGATGGGTCTGTAGCTTGAAGGCAATGTTGGATCCTTACCGGGTTTGCGGATTGGTATGATTTTAGCTTCTTTTCAGATGCTTGGAAAGTAGTGCAGTTCCAAACATCTGTTAAAGATAGCGGTTAGAAGAGACTGCACTTTCATGCTGAGTCTCTTCAAGATCAAATTGAATATACCGTCAAACCCGGGAGCCTTCATGTTCTTGGTGCATTTCAGCGCTGAGCAAATTTGTTGTACTGTAATCATATCCGCCGGAGGCACGACACAAGGGGAGGCACGACACAAGGGGAGGCATCTAGGTTTTGAACGCATTGCGCAACCTGATCTTCGAGCGGACTTTGGATATTCGAGCCAAGCAAATGCGATGAAGCGACATGCTCGCCGATCGCATTTGCTTTCTCCTGTGGGGTGATTAAAAGCCGATCGTCATCATTTTCGACTCTGAGAGGTGGAATGGGTTTGGGATGAGTTTTCAGGACCTTGGCTACCTTCCAGAATGGTCTGGAGCGGTCGTCCAGATTCTGGACAACACGCCCGAAACTTTCATTTCGGAGTGAGTCCATTCTGGAAGCAATCTGTCTGTTCAGATCATCCATTTCACGTTTTTTGCACAGATCTCCAGTCCTCTGAAACTGGCGTCTACGAACATTTCTCAGGCGAATCAAAAGTTGGGTGTGGGAATCAATGGCAATAAACTTACCCCTCACAGGAACTCGTCAAACGCACGCCTCGTCAGCCACGGTTATGGCTTGGTGGAGTCCCTCCAACGCTCGGTCGATGTCCTCCACGGTGTCAAGTGGCGGGTTGTCGATGATGTGCCTGTCTACCACGCGTCCAAACTGGGCCCAGTTAACGCGATGGTAGTCCTTGCGCAGGCTTGAAGCAGGAGCCACGTTGCAGCCCAGTTCAGCCACCACCGGTTGGTGGTCGGAGCTGAGTTCGTTCAAGGCTACCGGCTTGGACAAGCCGATATTTGTCAGGAACAGGTCTAGCGTCGATGGGTTGCCCGCCGGTGAGATAAATGTTGGTTCATCCGAAAACCAAACGGAATACAGCCCATGCTGTGAGTGGTCGAACAGGAGACGACCGTTCTGGTTCTGCTGGTAGTTCCGCCAGGCCTCATGGCGAGCATTCAGATCTCCTCCAACTACGAAGCGGGAACCGGTACGGGTGATGGTGGACAGGTCCTTCTTAAATTTAGCCGCTAGTCCACTGCTGGCGGCACACTGTCGAGGGCAATAGACGGCGATAAACTGGACGTATCCAGTCGACGACTCCACCTCCACACCAAGGACTTCGATGATAGAGGTGCGGATATGGGACAGAGTGTGGTATTTTATTCCTTTCTTGACGACGACCGCAACACCACCCCCCCTGGAGCTGGTGCGATCAAGCCGGATAGTGTTGTGGTCAGGCAACCAGAAGCTGTCGCCGGACTTTAGATGGGTCTCGGTTAGAAGGCCCACGTCGATGCTGTGCTTGCGGAGGAAGTCGGCAAGCTCAATCTTTTTTGCTCTTACAGAGCAAGCATTCCAGGTGACGATAGTTAGCGGTTTAGACGCCATACTGGATGATGAACTTACCGAGCACTTGGATCTGTTCGGGCTTATTGCGGCACTTACGAAGAGCACCGGACATGTTGACGAAAATTTCCATCAGTTCATCCGCTGAGAACAGATCGGGGTTGTTGTTTTGCACTGTTGGTTGTCTCCAGAATCCAGGGGGGGATGGAGAGCTTTGACCAGCAGAATCACCGGAAGCTTCTTGAGGGGGGGGGGGGCGGGTTGCACCCGCGAATTTGCTTGCCTTTGCTGGGGAGCACGAAGAGACGGAAAATCCTCCGTCCTGAATGATGGGGTTTTGTCCTTCTTTCGTCCTGGTTGATTGTTGCTTGACGCCAGCTTTCGGATGCGTTTGAAGTCCTCGCGTTTGGAGCACTGTCTGTCAGAGCCTTGATGTGCACCACCACAGTTAGCGCATTTTATCGCCACGGCTCCATCCGCAGGGCAGTTGGAAGTGGCGTGTTCTTGAGCGCAGTTGCTGCAGCATTGCTTGATGTTGCAGTTGCGGGTACCGTGTCCAAAATTGAGGCACCTCTGACACTGCGTTACGTCACGATGACCGCCACGGTATGGCTCCCACCGTACGATGATGGAGTAGATCGATCGGATGGCTTGTAGCGCATTGAGCGTCACCGTCCCTTTCTGGAAGTGCACCAGGAAAAGACAATCCGGGTACGTCTTCACGTTTTCATCTCTCCTTGTCATTCGGAAGACAGCAATTGGGGCTAGCTTGTACCGGTTGATTTCGGCTTCGACCATCTTGGGGTCGAAGTTTGGTAGACCCCTGATGACTACCTTGAAGGGCTTCTCACCGGGGATGTCGTGCGTGAAGAATTCCGCCTTGGTATCCTTCAGATGTTTCACGGCCACTTCGTACTAAGCTTTGGTTCGGAGCATCACCTTGGTGCCGATCCTGCCGAGCTTAAACTCAGCTGCAACGCCCAGCGATGAAAGATCGCCAATCAGCGTGTTGAGTGGGACTTGCTTCACCACCAGTGGAGGAAGCTTCATTTTTGCTGCACTCGGGCTGGCAGCAGTTTCGTTGTCGACGGCGTCGCCGAAATCACCAATGACGCTGACGTTCGTCGCTGGCCTTGATTTTTCTTCCTCTTCTTAGACCGCTTCACCGTGGCTGAGGTGGGATTCCCTACATCGGTGGGAAGAGTAGCGTACCTATTCGAAATAGGTACACTCAAGCTACCCTCACCGCTGTTCTTCTTCTCCGTTTTCTCTCGGAGCCTGCTCCGGGAGCGCTGTCTTCCCATCACACGAAGCGACCGACACTACTGACGACGCGATTAAACTGCGAATGTTTGGAACAAACTAGAAACTTTAGAACAACTCGACAGAGCGAGCAAAGACCGAACTGTACTGCTTGACGTTCAAGCAGAGAATGTATGACAGCCTCACTGTGGGCTGTCGCTTATAGCTAAAACTCAGAGCTGCTTTAGGAAAAAGAAAGCGACAGCCGTTGGAATACTACCATTAACTGCTCGAGATTATCCAATACCGCCATGTTACAAGCGTACTTATTTCTGCTTTATGGAGTGACTTTGCCTGACACTATCCACCCGAAAATCGATTCCGTTCCGCTGTGACTGATCGCGACGACGGTTCTGATTACACTAAATTCATCCAGTTTTCTACGTTCATCTACCGATGACCCTCCAACTGCCCGCATAGTAATAGTAGAATTCCGGAAACTCGTGTTGACATGATCCGGTGCACTACCACGACCCTAGTAGCCACAGTAGCGCACAACCGTTGAGTGAGATCGTTGCTGTTGGCTGCATCCGATGATACTGCAAATTTAAGCTCAGAGACACTATATCAATTTGAAATCCACCGCAGCAGTTTGAAGGTAACTGCGGTTTGTCTTCGCCAGACCCAGCTTCTACCCTCTAACTAAAGCTAGTATTATGGCACTGCCATCGCAGAATGGGCCACAAGGAAAATGGGGCTTTGGTTGCTTTCATGTAAAGAGTTTCCCGATTATCTACCAAGAAGATTTTTCTCTATTACTTTGGAGGCTTCACATGCTGTAAGGATCTCTTCATAAATGCTCCCAATGGAACTTACCAGAAAGAACTTTTCTCAATATCCTTGCGTGACTACCTTTAGTTTTCTATGCGTAAATGAACTTTCAAACAAAAAAAATGCACATCCAACCTGACAACGTTCATGTTCTGCCTTCGTGCAGCCCTGCCAGGAGCAACTTTTTTAATAAGTCAAACACTTCCTGCCACACCGACAATATGGCACACTTTCCACGTGCGTCGTTCGTTGCTTGTCATATGGGCGAAACTCTGGTTCATTTCTCTGCCAACTTTTAACACACTCTACTATAAGACAGCCCCTAAAAAAAAACGATGATAGGAAACTGTGAAACGACACACTCAACGATGTGAGTCAGTCGGTGGGATATAAAGTTTGCCAAGAAGATATTCCCGCTTGGAACTTGTTCCTACTCTCGACTTTTTACACTCATCCAGAAAGCAAATTTTGCAACGACAACGACGACGGCTTCTCTCAAGAGATCACCTGGCTCTAAAGGATGAAAATCGAAGGAAAAAAATCACTTCTCCAAACTATTTGATGAAGACTTTTCCCATCGAAACAGAAGGGCAAAAACGGTGCCACAGGAAATTACCAACTCCCAACCCAGGGTAGCAGCAGCAGTATCGTTCGCCATTCGACGAAGAAGGAAGTTGATCACAAATTCCGCCCAAACTGTCCCATCACTCGTTCGGCACATAGAGCCAGAATCATGTTGGAGAGGAGCAAGTAGACTCACCTGTCGTAGTTTGGCCATTGCATCGGCAGTGATGAAATCTCCTTTCTGAAATTTAGTCACGAAGCACATCACCTGATACTGGCTCTGGCCACGTTCCTCCTCGCCCAGGACCAGGGCTTTCAGCACTTGCACTTCCTGAAATGACCGTTGGAGAAAGAGAGAAAAAAAAATGCACATGAAAAACGACGATCGTTTGTTGAGAGCATGGGAAAGAAAGAATGTCAATAAATTTGGCTTCCCCCTGATCAGCAAGAAATCGAACGATGGAATGGGAGTTTTGTAGCAGTGCCGGATTGGAGTTACTCTTTGTGATGGCGAAGTCAGAAAGGTATGTATTTTTGATTGGATTAAAAAAAAATACGAACATATCCAGTTAAATTCCATCCGAATTCAATGTTAATTAATTTTCATAAATTCAAAGATTCCACAGAAAAACCTCACTCAAAGCACTGCTACCGGATCCAACCGAGTTCGTGCCTTCCCGGAAGAAACGATGATGTACACCTGTCGAGAGGCATCCCATAAGAAGATACTGTCACCATACCGACCGGTTCCGATTGCATACATCGTATCAAAAAACATGCCCCCACTCGACAGGTCTCGATAGTCCTTGGCGCTTGTATTTCCGACTGTTTGGAGAATCAGAGGACATTAGCAAACGAACGTCAAACAAATCATAGCACAGTACAATGCATCGCCAGCAGACACTTCAGTTAAACCACACCGTTCGTCACCGTTCCCTACTGGAGGTAGGTGCCTACTCGTATGTGGCCGAAGCAAGTGCACTACAAACAGAACAAATCCGGATCATGTGCTCTTCTTCGCCCCATCAATGAAAAAAAAAGAAAAGAAGGGCACACTTGCTTTTGATGGAGGAAAATCCATCCTCTTGAATAGTGAATGACGATAAAACCCTTTGAGCTGAGTTGTGTGGAATTCATACCTACAGGAAAACCACTGGGCGGGAAATCACTGCTGCACTCACGGGACAGAGCTTGGATTAATACTTCAGTTTTCTACGTATCTTTCCAATATCTGCCGATGTAAACAACACTGTGCAGTAGTACCGTTTTCAAAACATGAAACGGATTTTAAAAATGTTCGAATTCCGACCAGGTAGGTATAGCATTGGTTCAGCAGAATGTAAGAATGTTGATGCCTTTTCGTTCAACTAGATAGCGTTAAGGTGGTTCCTTGACGAGTCCAAAAATGGCCGTTATGATGGCTGATATGCTCTATCACTTTAAGTTTTTTAGAGTATATAAATCTTGGAAACTTTTGGGACATCTATAATGACATTGGGACTTCCTGTATACTGCACTGCAGCAAACGTAGAAGTTTCCTAGTTGCATAGTAGTCTTGTAATTTCAACGATATTTTTTTAATTGATTATGATGATTTCTTACTACCTCTTTCGCTAATTACCCAAGAGGTGCTGGCGTGCTTATTTCTCCGGTGTGAGTGAGAACTTTATGCACGGTCGCTGTTATTTTGTAGCAATCGTACAAATTATATAGATAGAGCCTGTATGTTCCTTTGCAATATGTTCTTGTCAGTTAATAGCAAATAGAATATGTCGAAATCGCACAATTAATTCTTTGTCGATGTTCAGCATGAAGCTTAAAAGCTGAGAAGTTCCGAATGCTCGTCGACAAACGTTACCTGTAACGGGTGTTCAATAAAAAATGGGAATGATTTCAGTGCCGTCCAGCGCTCTTGTGAGAGCATCGCGACTAAGTTGCGTCGTAGGCTGACCAGGACCCCTTCTCCCAAAAATCATTGTCGTTTTTTTTTGAAGAATAAACATTATGTTTTTATTAAAAAAAAAAATACTGAATTAGTTGAAAAAAAATGTACTAACTATATGACTGGAAAAATTCTCATTTTTTTATTGAACACCCGTTAGTACTGGTACCTGTACCAACTGATTTTGGTTGGTCTACTCTTATTCAAAAAATTCGTGAATCTGTTTCGTTACATGTTTTTTTCTCTGTACATATAGTTCTTTTAATGGTTTCGTAACAATCCATTTCTTTATATCTTTTCTATAGGCAACACACAAAAAGCATTTGAAAAATCGTAGATATTCCGTATTGCATCCGTAATGCTCAAATTTGTCTATATCATTTAGCATGTTTCGTGCTGCTCTACAGATTGAACAATTCTGCATCGACAAATTTCCAGTACCATAAGTAAAGACTTTTACATTTATCATACTCAAAATAAAATCTAAATCAACAAGTATTAACTCGTCGTTCGAAATTTCATCTTTCACTGGCGTTCATTTATTTCTCTATATTCTATTTTGTAGCAAGAACTACTTCTTTACTCTATTGCAAAATTCAAGAAGTATAAATGTGTGTGTATGTGTGTGATTGCTGCTCTTCTCTCCATTTACGCTGCAGCTCCGACATAATCTGCGTGATTGCCCTGCTGACGGCATTTCAAGTACCCTCCTCTCGACACATTTCAACGACGACATTCTCCATGTCAAGGACGGGCATCTCCCTTCGCACTACCTTGAACCTTGAACAGCTGAAGACCACATGCTCCGGCGTTTCATCGACGTTGCCACACTCAGGACAGAGGGTGTCCGAACCAATGCAGGTATTTCCTGAAGCAGCCGTGGCCAGACAGGAACTGCGTTAGGTGGAAGTGGACTTCTCCGTGTTTTCTGTTCACCCAGGTCGAAAGAATCGGTATTAGCCTATGTGTCCATCTACCGTTCTCCGTCGTGTTCCACTCCTGTTGCCAATTAGTCAATGCCTCAACTCTCACAACTTTCCGTACTCTTCCGGCTTCTCTCCGCCTGTAGCACTTGCTGTCCTCCGCCAGGGTGATGCCGATAGGGATCATACCGGCGATAACGCAGACTGCTTCCGACGAGATGGTTCTGTACGCACTCACGACTCGAATAGCCATGAGCAGGAACGTGCTGCTCAATTTCTTTTGGTTCTGCTTCGTTTCCAGCGCTGGAACCCAGGCTGGACCTCCATATCTAAGTATCGATGACGACACACTGGCCAGAAGACGCCTGTTGCTACTGATGGGACCAGCGTTGTTCGGCATTTTTCTAGCTATCGCGTTGATGGCCTTCGAAGCATTCTCACAGGCATATTCGACGTGGCTGTTGAAGTTTAGCCGGTCATCGATCATCACTCCCAGGTATTTCAACACACGCTTCGAGGCTATGGCGTGCTCCCCGACGGTGATTTCTGCCTGCTGTACCGCTTTACAGTTACTGACCAATAACACTTTCGTTTTGTGGTGGGCTATCTGCAGCTTCGCTCCTTGCATCCAGTTACCAATCATGTCGATCGCCTCGGTTGACAACACTCACACCTCTTCCAGCGTCTCGCCTGTTACCATAAAGACGACGTCAACGATCTCAACACCTTTGAGCAACTTCAGAGTTAGCACGCCGTTATACAACCCGTTCCAGAGCGTTGGATTAAGGATGCAGCGTTGTGGAACTCCCGCTGTGATCCTAACCGATCTCTGTCCCATGTCTGTCTCGTAGACCAGAACTCGGTTCTGGAAATAAGTCCGCAGGATCATGCACAGGTAGTCAGGGTCCCTCATTCTATGCAGCGCTTCAGTGATGGCATCCAGGCTGGCGCTGTTGAACGCTTTCTTGACGTTGATCGTTATTGCGGCGCAATATCGATCTTCTCACCGCTTCTGTTTGGATGCCTTCTCAGCCCTCTCGACCACTGTCCGAATTGCATCCACCGTTGATCTCCCTTTCCGGAATCCAAACTGCCTCTCCGACAATCGAAAATCCGTGCTCACTCTCCGTTAATTTCGTCAACCTGTTTAGGATGATCCTCTCCAAGAGTTTTCCGAGTGTATCCAGCAGGCATATACGATGCTGGATTTTCCTGGTTTCGGCAGCAACACTAGCTTCTGTATCTTCCACCTCAGGGAAGTGACCCTCATCTAGGCATTTCCGGGGACGCGTGGATCGTCGCTTTCAACGCTACATTGGGGATTCCATCCGGACCGGGAGCTTTCTTCACCATCAATTCTTTCGCCACTGCCACGCATTCCTCGTTGGTGACTTGGACGTTATCACCCTCTCCTTCTCCGTACGGTGAGGTGGCCAGGTCGTTGGATCGTGCTTCGGGAAAAGTCCTTCCACGATGACTTTCACTTTCTCTGGACACAATTCAGTGGGCATCGTTGGACCTCTGATCTAAGCCATCACGACTCGGTATGCGTCGCAGCAGCGTCTCGACACAGTGACTTAAAACAGTTTGACTTGCTCTGCTTTATCTCTCGTTTAAGTGCGGCCCTGGCCGCTCGAAACACTCCTCTTCGTTCCTCTCTGTCTGTTTCTGTTCTTGCTCTCTGAACACGTTTTCTGGCTCTGAGACAACTAGCGCGGAGGGTGCTAAGTGACTCGTTCCACCAGTAAACTGGAAGCCGTCTGTTATTTGGCTCCAGTTTCCTCGGCATGGTCGTGTCACATGCTTTCACTAACGTTTCTGTCAGGTCGTCCACGTTCAGAACCACGGGGCTCCTGTCAACATGGAGTGCCTCAACGAAAAGATCCTTATCGAAAGCCTCCGTCTTCCACTTCCGGTCACAAGTTCTCGTCATCGGTACTGCCACAGTATCCCGTTGGCCGATGCCATATCCGATGTGTATGCTTCGCACACTCTCCAATCCATGTATGCCACCAGCGACGGATTGCAGAAAGTAACGTCGTTAATGGATTCGCGGCCATCTCTGCGAAAAGTGCTGCTGGTGCCTTCGTTGGCCAGCATAACTTCCAGTTTTCCCAGAGCTTCCAGCAGACGGTGCCCTCTTGCATTGGAACATCTGCTTCCCCACTCCACTGCCCAAGCATTGAAGTCTCCTCCGATGACTACCAGTCGTCGTCCAATCAGCTCTTCGGTAAGCCCATGCAGCATCTCATGGAACTGCTCCATCGTCCATCTGTGGGGTGAGTAACAACTACACATGAAGATTCCGTTGATTTTGGCGATCACGAAACCTTCGTATGAGCTCGCAACCACATCTTGAATGGGGTATCTGCCCATAGCTTGTATAGCCGCCATCCCAGCTCTATCCGCCACCCAGTTACCGTTATCGGGAGGGACATTACTGTTGGCCTGCCATAGCCTTTTTGT